ATATACTTACTCATTACCTAAATTAAATATTTTTTAAGTATATTTTAAATATATTTTAATTATAAAATAATAATATTATAAGTATATTATCATGAATATAATTAAGTATATTTTAAATATATTTTAAATATATTTTAATAATATTTCAATGATATTTTAATTATATTTTAAGTATTTTTTAAACATGTATATTTCTTATAGGGTTAGCATTTTCAAATTCGCGCTTGGCATTCTCTTCTATAACCTGTTTTAACTTTATATTCTCTGCCTTAGCCTTGGTATTTTCAACCTCAAGTATAATAATATGCTGTTTAATAAATCGATTTTAAATTGTGCATTAGTCATTGTTATATAAGATGCAGATATATTCAAAAATGATTTATGCTTGTTTAATCTTATGTTTTTATACTTACTATGTGAATTGAATTCTGATATTTATTTATATAACAATTGAGACAATAAGCTTCTTCACTATAAAATTCATCACTACCCCAAATACCCTCTATATAATTTCTTATATTTTCTTTTTTATGATTTTTATTACATATAGGACAGGATATAGAACAGTTAAAATTGAAGTAATCATTCTTTTTAAAACTATGTTTCAGAGTCAAATAAGAAAATCGCTCTAATACCATTTCAATAACGTGTTGTTGTCTTTCTTCCGGGTCTTTAGATAGAACAGAAATTGGGTATTATTATTTAAATGGTGTAGATTGAATATTTACTTGCGGTACAAATAAAGTCTTTTCCTCAAAAGATTCAGAGGGTTTGAAATCTATCCAAGAATTGAGACCAGTTTCATTTTTATATCTTTTATATAATTTGAAACAAATTTTATCCATTAAAACATCAATTAATTCAGCTTGCCAATTCAGAAATTTGGAGATTAATATTTTATCAGACTTTGTTTGTGTATTCATGTTGCCGTTTTATATGATTACAAAGTAATTTAATTCTCCGAATTTGATATTATAAAAAAAAAATGTCTTATAACCTAACTATTTTCAGGCTTCGAGTGGCATGGCCAGGAGATGGCAAATCTACACAATTATTTCGAAGCTAGTATAATAATGCCGATTCCAGATGCTTCACATTTAATATAATAAGATCCATCTTTATATTCTCCATTTATACCATCCTCATTCTTGTGATTTAACTTGCATATTGGACATGGCAATTCAGCATTAACCCCATAATAATCAATATTTTTTTTGCTCCTATATTCATAATATAAGTTGGGATATTGCTCCAATGTTTTGTTGCGAAAATTAGCATGGGTGTGAACTGGATTATTTTGTTTTTCAGATAAGGTCTTCTTGGTTTCCAGTAAATCCTCCTTGGGTTTAGAGGTAGGTGGTACTTTCAAATCGAAAGAATTGGAGATTAGTAATTTAGTTAGATCACTTACTTTAATTTTCGGAGATATATGATCTGATTGTGACGAATTTGTCACGGTTTTTAAGTTTACATGATCTATAATATTTTGAATTTGCGCATTAGTTAATTCTGAAATAGTACTTGCACTATATGTAACCTGTTTAATTTTAGCTATACCTACTCCTCCTTCTCCAAACAGTTTAAGAATTTTCCGAGCTCTCTAAGTTTTTTTACATAAATTTGAATCTGTAACATGGGGGAGAAAAGGTTTCATTTCCTTATATAATTTTGTTCTTGCAGTTTTATCCTTAATATTTCCATCGGTTATAAGACTTTTAACTCTATTTTCAAACTCAAGGGAATAATAATACCAGCGTAAAATTTCTTCTTGACTCTTTACAACCGCTTTATCAAACAAATATGATAAACTTTGTGCTGAGGTCAAGTTATCCAAGTTTTGAATATAAGATTTATTAATTTCAATGTCGGGGGTATTCTGAGACAATTCTTGCATTAGACCTTGTTCTACGATTTGACTGGTATCAACCTCATCAATTTCATTATCTCGCTCTAATTCAGATACTACAGAAGATACATTGTCTGATCGTGACAAATTTGTCACGGTTTTCATGTCATGTGATTTTGGTTGGGACCATTTTTTCAGACCACATGGTTCTTCCTCTACCTCAGTATCCAAAATCTTATTGCAAGGAGAATCAGCTGGCACCGAAGAAGCATTGTGTGAAACTTGGGCTTGAATCTTCTTTTCCCGGTTCCTTTCTCTTATCATATTACTAATACTTTCCTTATTTTTCTCGTATAAGAAATCGTTAATCTCTTTTTCTTCCAATGATTTAGAGATCCCCAATTCCTGATATATATCAGAATTAGATGTGTTATCGGATATGTTTTCTATCTTTTCAGGATTATTGCCAGAATTCTTCTCTAAGGGTACGGAATCAATAGAGCGGTCTTCGGTAGGTGGTGGGATGGATGATTGGGAAGTTACTGGTAATTCAGAACAGTCTGAAATAACTTTTGTGGGAGATGCTTCCTGTTCGTTAGTGATAACCTGGATCCGGTTTTGTTCCAATTTGGTAACTCTGTCCTTAAGCTCAAGATTTTCAGCGATAAGGTTGCTGGTATCCGTTTTATTTTTTTTCTCTAACTCCTCAAACCTGGTCTTGAGCTCGGTATTTTCTTATATAACCCGCCTTAACTTTACATTTTCAGCCTCAACCTCAGTATACTTTTTTCTAAGTTCGGGAATCTCGGCATTCTCCTCCCTAAGTTCAACAATCTGGGACGTGAGTTTGGAATTCAATTCTCTTAATGAATCAATTGCGGATTGAGTGGTTTTCATTGTTTTATAATATATTCAAAAGTTTAATTACAACTAAAATTTCACTAACGCCCGTCAGCGAAAAAATGCCAAGAAAATTTTCAGTCATAGCATACACTCTCCATATTACATGAAAAAAACATTGGTTTGTAGAAAATCGCGTTAATGCGACTTTGCTTTATTAATCGTAATAAAGATCGAAAAGAATCAAATCTATCTATTGTTTTATACTATTATATACTGGTTTCATTTGTTATTGATATTATCGATAAAAAAAGAAAATAATTCAAACCTTTGATTGGTCAAATATATGGACCGCGCTTATTAATCAATAACGCAAAAATGGTAGTCTCTCTGGTCCAAGTCCACCTATAATTATTTGCATTTCGAGATTGATGTCATATGATACTCCAAAGTGATAGAGCGGAGATTGAATAAATGCTTTATAGGTAACCGCAAGAAAAATCATATGTCTATTATATATATCACTTTCTCAAATACCAATTTATAACGAAATGGCAACTTTATATAATGATTATGATACAGATTTGGATTCGTATTCAAGTGTTAGTGGAAAATGTTCGACAAGTGCAAGCTCTGCTACTACCGCAACCCAGAGGTGAGTATATATATATGCAACTGGTGCTTCCCCCTTTTTCTAAATCTCCAGAGATATTACAGTGAAGACGAGAACGCCTCTGTTTCAAAACCTCTTGTTCGGATGTCAGACGAACTGAAAAAATTCCGAAGGCTGTGGTGGGATCAAGGAAACCTACATCCTAAGGCAGACTGGGATAATGTGAAGTAAGTGATACCCATCTATTATTTATTAGATATAGTCAGGCTAATTTTCACTAATTACATCAAGGCTTCCGTACTTGCTTGCCGAGAGCATAACTTTTGAAGAATATGAACGTCGTGGAGATATGTTTAATGTTCATGGCTGTTGGGAATGGCGTAATGGTAAGGTTATAATCATTGAACTTCCATCCGATCCGCACGAAATATGTATTAGCTCAATCTCTAGGGAGCTAATGCACCGTTGCGGTTCTGTTATTCAAACTGATGCTGAGATCTACGGTCTTGGATCTATTCGTAAGTATCGTTTTATTAACTTTCCCTGTTCTACAACACTATCATCAAACTAACTTTGAATGTTTAAAGGAACTCGTGTCGGGGGTTCTGGGAAAGAAGCTGATGCATCTTTTAGCCCAGAAAAACCCGATGTAACTTCACCAAATGGAAGAGATGGAAATGTATCTTCTGTTCCTTTTATTGATTTTTGAACTCTTTAAAGCTGTAGATTTCATATTGCTTTTTAATTCTAGAACAAACCTTGGCCAAATATTGTTATTGAGGTCGCATATTCCGAAACAGTACAACATGTCATGGATAAAGTGCAAAATTATTGGTTACATCCTAATCGTGCTCACGATGTAATTGTTGTTAAAATTAATCCTGTTCCTCGGGGTCAAGTTCCTATGCGTATGAGAGTAAGTTACACCTTTACAATGTGTGATAACTTTATTTATAATATGTACAATATTCTAACGATTTGCTCTTGACAGGCTTGGCATTTTTGTGTTTCAGATGGCAGGTTACCAAATGGAACTGTTCCAGCTAGAAATATGGTAATGCTACATAAATTAGCAGTTTTCTTTCCTGCCAATATATCAAATTCTCTAAAGTATACGATTAACTATTAGTTCGAGTTCGGCACACAAGATGAGTTTGGGAATGCATTGAATATTCAACAAGGTGCACGTATTATCAGCATTCAGTTAGACTGCCTGTATCATGATTTACTCCCTAATATCCAAATTCCTAGAAAGACCCTTCCTGATCCTATCGAATTGGACTTCTTCTTTGTTCAACGTGCGATTTTCAGAATGGTTTAACATTTTATGTAGAATGCAATTTTAGTTCAGTACTTCACATATTGACGTTGCTTTAAAGACAAAGTTTTATTCTTCGTTATGCATATTACCTACTGATGGAACACATTTGGCAAATGAACCTGTAACCATAGAATTTTATTTATGCTATTTATAACTTAATCAAAAAAATAAAATTGAATACGCCACAACATAATTAATGAATATTATTCAAACATTTCTACAAATCTATTTATAATTCCTAATTCCTTGAGTTTGCTTTCTAGTTTCACTACCTTGACCTTAAGCTCTGCATTTTCAACTAATTCTAGCCAAAAGCCTGGCGTTCTCTTGTTTCAATAGATCTAGTTCGGATTTGGTATTTTCCATTGTTTTGTATAAGATACGAATATATTTAAATAAAAAAATTATTCTGGAAAATTACACATATACATTACACGAAAAATAACACATGGTACGTTGTACGTTCCTCTAACCGAAAATCATTATTAATAAATATATGGGGTAAGATACATAATAAAATACAGGAAAAATTATATGATATATGAAGAAAAATCTATCTATTTATGGGATGGGGATGTTACCATGGGACTTTGGGTAGCATTTCTTGGTGGACGTGTATTGGCTTGCTCTAGAGCTTGTATCAATAAGCTTTGGTTTACA